ATGAGTTTGATCTTTAGATTTTTTAAACCGAGAATTCAGAAATTTGTCGGAAAATCTTATGAAAATTTTCGATTTGGAAGAAATTATTCTCTTTCTATACAAAAATCAATAAAAGAAGAAGATTTTGCTGATTTGGCCAAGTGCGTCTTTTATCTTTTTAATAATATATCTTTTTTTTTAAAAAAAAAAAGTAATATATATATATATATTCGCGTCTATAACTTTTAGAGACAAATCCTTCAAACAAGTTTTGAACGATATAAATAAAGCTTTATCTTCTACAGGTTCCATAGAGGATTCTTTGTATAACATTGAAGAATACGAAGATAAGCCATATGTGCGCAAATCACCCGAAGCAAGTTTCGCCAGCAAAAGAATCGGTTGGGTAATGTTACCCGATTGGCTAAATGAAGCAGTTTTAGAAACCATCAAAGGTTAAGTTTCAAACGAAATGATATAGCTTATATTATATAATAAATTGTTAAATTATCTATAAATTTTTTAGAACACGACAAGGAAATCATTAAACAGGATGCAAAGCGAATCTATTTATCTCTTCGATCTACTACTGGTTTTAACCCTAAATCTGACAGAGATTTTAAAGGTATATTTCATTATTACTCAAATTGATAACATCGCTTCATTCATATCTTTTTTAATGATTCCTTTCTTTATTTGTTCTCTCAAGACCCCATCATGGGTCCGTGCAAAAGTGCTCTAAATACATTCAAGCGCTTTGCTCAAGAAAATGAAGTCAAACCTCACGTACTTGAATATGGTACTCGCGAGGCAATAGCTTATCTCGCGGGCTATTTACCAATTTCTTATGGTCCGATTTTCAATGTCCTCACTGAACTAAAAAGCAGAATTCCAGACTTTTCACCACAGAATGTCTTAGATTTTGGAACTGGACCTGGTACTGCAATATGGTAAATTTACATCCTAATAGTTCATGAAGAAAAAGTGTAGCTCTTAATTGATTTGATAATCTTTAGGGCAACGCATGATATTTGGGGTAGAAGTGATCAGAATTTTTTGGGCATTGATATCTCCGAATCAATGTTGAGAACAGCGGAGAAACTGTTATCATGTATGTGCTAATTTTTTTTTTCTCATTCTAATCCATTCTACTTTATCTATAAATGATTTTAACCATATTCTCATACTTTTAGTTCATTCTAATAAGGATCAAATAAAAAACATTGAATTTAAGCGATACCTTACCTATGAGCCACACGTAAAACGCGATTATTTTTATTTATTAATTTAGTAGAATGTCAAAAATTGAAAACAAAATTTAATCTTCCTTTGCAGTTGAAACACGATCTCGTGATAAGTGCATTTACTTTGAATGAGCTGTTGAATGATAACGTCAGAGAAACTGTTTTGGAATCCTTGTGGAATAAGACGAACGATATACTGGTAAAATTATAATCTCCTTTCGTTTTTCTTTATGTCCTAAACCAAACTTTATTTTTAGGTTTTAATCGAAAACGGTACTCCAGCTGGATTTAAAGTCATAGCGGAAGCGCGTAAGAAAATTTTGAGGATGGAAAATAAAGGACAATTAAACGAAGTGGAGTCAATTACAGATGAAGCCAGAGATAAAAAGAATCGTGGAGCTCATGTGGTCGCACCGGTTAGTTTATATTTTTGTGTATTGTCAACGTCAAATTAATTAACATAATAAATAAATCTTATACATTGTGATTAGTGTCCTCACGATGGTACTTGTCCTTTAATAGCGTCAAGAAATTGGTGTCATTTTTCACAACGAATTAACAGGCCATATTATCTCGTAGGTGTCTTGAAAAAATAAGAGATGGGACATTGTTTATTTTCATGTTTAAGATAATATTTGATTTTAATTTTCATTTAGATGAAAACAAAAAATGTGAAGAAGGACAATTTTGAAGATTCGAAATATAGTTATGTCATTCTAAGAAAAGGGAAACGTCCGACGCGAATCACTTCAACAAACGTAGATGTCTCATCTTTAGACGTCAATGACAAGCGCGGTTTGATGCTTTTATAATAAATGTAGTGTTCATTCTTTCAAAAAAATTACAACTAATCCACCTACAATACTAAAGATTTAACGGCCGAGGCGTATCATTGGTCACGTTTGGTTATGCCGCCCATGAAGCGAAGCGAACACGTCGTTATGGATTATTGTTCAAAGACAGGCAAAATTTACTTGACGCATAATAATTTTCCAATTGATGTTCAAGTTATTTTAAATGAATAAATCCGAATTTGTAAGCTGAAACTCTTTATAATATTTATAGGTTATATCGAAAGAGGAATTATTCCCAAATCTCAAGGGAAGATACCATATCGGGATGCACGTAAATCTATGTGGGGTGACTTGTTTCCACATGAGCCAAAGAAACCTGCAGTACGAAGGCTTTTTTCACATAGAATCGAGCAATTAGATGTAAAGAATAAAGAAAAAGACCAAATGCGAATTCCTAGTGGGCAAAAGATTAGTAAAAAGAAAGATCTAACTTTAATAAGAGAAGGAAGACTTAGGAAGAAAGAGCGCGAGAATGATGTAGGATTGGCATATTCAGCTCATCAATCCTCACATCATGAAAAGACAGACATTTCCACATAATCTAAACCGATTATGAATTGGCATTCTTCAGATATATTTAAATTAATATATATATATTTAAATTATTTGTAAAATACAGATCATATAATAAAAGTTTTTTTTTTTAACCCAAAAGAAAATTTGTTGTCTACGATCATTTTTGTTTGAGTACTTCATTAAGTATTGGTTTGACTTTGGCATAAACCTCATCTACGCCTTCCGTACAAGGTATCTGCAAAAAAAAAAAATTTATGATTAATTTAAGAATCAAAATATTTAATAAGTGAAGTGAAAGAATACATACTGTATGCACTTTTCCTAACGTCCTGTAATACTCGACAACAGGATAACTAGATTCAATAAAGGTCTTGAATCTTTTCTTAATCGTTTCACGATTATCGTCAGAACGTCCGCTTGTTTCACCACGTTTCAAAAGACGCTTAAGCATTACTTCTTCAGGACAATCAAAGAAGAGGATACAAGTGGCTTCAACGACCTATCAAAATTTGGAAAAAAAAAAATTAATTATTTTTTTTTATTTACATATATATAAAAAGGAAAAGGAAAAAAAACCAACTTCTTTTTCAAAAGCATGAGCTTGATCTAATTGTCTCGGAAATCCATCAATTAAAAATCGATTGGAATCATTTTCAATCATGGCTTTTTCGAGCAGTCCAATAGTAATTTCCATGGGAACGATTTTACCCTCCTTAATATATTTAGTGATCAATTCCCCATCTGGAGAATTCGGTCTTTCCTGTTCTTTTCGTAACAAATCTCCGGCTAATCATACAAACAAGTTAATATCATGAAAGTAGCAAATTAAAAAGATGAATAAAAAAAAAAAAAAATAACATAAAAGTTACCAGACAAGTGAATGAAACCGAAATCTTGAACAATTTTCGCGCATTGAGTACCCTTTCCTGAACCAGGTCCACCTATAGTGTGATTTATGTATGGATTTTTTTTTTTTTTAAAAAAAAAACGAATCAATTCATCTATACGTAACCTCGGATCAAAAAAAGAATACGTGTATATATATATATATTGAATGTATTAAATTAACCTAATACGAAAATAACTGTAATATCATCTTTGGAACTTTTTGCTTGAGAAGTCATTTTTATTTCTTTTTTTCTAAAAATTAAATGAATAAAGTTACATATCAATATAATTCCTTTAGAATCATTATAGGATTGACGTTTCACGTCACACATTTTCGTCAAGAATTTCGGCACGTCAAATTTTAACCTAATTGAATGACTGCATGATAAAAAGAATTTATTTCAATATACCTCTACTTTTAACTAAAGTAACGTATGCTGAAACTCCGACAGATAAAACTGCTAAAATTGCAAGTGGGTGAGGTCCTTTTGTATTTTGGGCTTGAGAAGGTTTAACCTTTTGTCTCTTGACTTTAACTTCGTGATTATTTATGGGACTAACTGAAAAAGCCCTTGTTGACCTATGAAAACTTACTTTTAAACCTTGAAATAATTTAAAAGAATCTGTAACAGTTCTTTGCATTATATACTTGAAACGGGAAAAATTTTCACCCCCTTAAATTTGAACTTTATACCCTGATCGGCTATTACCATTTTCAACGAGCTTGTTTTAAAAAACGTTTGTGTAACAATCTTGATGCAACACAAATATGTTGTGTTGTAGGTGTTCATTAAACTTCTTTTTCACTCACAACTTGAGAAAATTTTTTTTCTTAGATCTCTATCTTATTATCTTACTATCTTACTCCTCAACCTAAAAAATGCCTCTTCCTATAATTAAATTTCAACCTCATTTTATGAGAATAACTCCAGAAAGAGCAAGAAGATGGTATGTTATTTCTAAAATAAATAAAATAAATTTTTTTTGTCGAAAATATCTCAAGATAACCATCTTTAAATAAATTACATAACAAATAAAGGGCACCATCTGTCATGGCATTTACTGGAGCTCTTGGTATAGCAGCTTTACTCTTCGTTGAACCGATCCCAAGAATTCGTCAAGATATTTTAAGCAATGTTCCTATTCTTGGTAATTATTGGAGACCTAAAATAGAAAAATGAGGAGTTTTTAGTTATTTAAATTGTTATTTAGCCACTATTCATTCATTTTATTTTTTTTACGTTGTAAAAAATAAAATTACAAATATTTTCTTTGGTTGGCTAAATTAACTTTTGAATGATTATATGGTTCTAATAAATAAAAAAAAAAAAAAATTTCGGAAAATTCTAGCTCTAGGAATTTAAAAAATTTTAAAAAAATAATTTCAAAAATGTCTCGAGTCATCTTAAAATTTACGATAATTTATTTGGGAACTATTGTTATTGTAATATTAATTTAGTTATCGCTAACACTATATATTTATGTGGAATAAATACTTTGGTTCGGTATAACTTTGTATTTAAAACGGAGGATTTAAAAATAAAATATTTTGGTCTCCTGTATTTGGAATGGCTTGTTGTACGTAGGTGGCTTGTTGCCTTGCCATCCCAGCTTTTTCATAATTCATATTTTCAACTAACTGTGGCGTAAACATTTGTTGATTTTGACTTTGTATGTTTGAATTCATATGTTGAATTGAGTGTGGTATATTTAAATCTTGGTCAGACTGAAATTCTGTTGTTGGATTGTATCTTAATAATTGCTATGGTCGTCGAATTAATAAAAAGTTGTCGGATTTAAATGCAAAATCAAATTAATCAAATTGCAATGTAAATTAATGATTTTTACCTGTTTTATGATTTCTTCCGGCGGTGGTGTAAACACTTGTGGACACGAACGAAGCAACGTATCTTGTAAAGATGGTGTAAAATCATAATTTATAAAACTAGGCTGTTCCCATGTTTGAGGTTGTGAGTATATCTGAGGATAGGTTTGAGGTGCTAGAATATGCTGCTTGTGTTCGTTAATCTGTTCACAAGGTGGAATCTGATAATATAGATGTGGATCAAATTTCATTCCATGATATTCCTGTGACATGAAGGATTGATTACTATCATCTTGAGAATATGGATTAATTTGAGTTGGTTGAAAATCGTAAAGTTGTTCTTGTTTTTGAAAATGAGGAAAGAAGTTCTCTTGAAGTATAGGTTGTGACGACGAAAATGAATTAAGTTCGTTTGGATTTAATTGAGATACAAGTGGAACTTGAACATTCGATTGGGTATGCTGTTCATATTGGGATTGTAGTTGTTGTATTGGTTCAAACTCGGGATGTTTTGGTAAGGTTGACGACGATCCTTGTAAACGCGTCGAATCCAAATCCAGCTTTGGTGAAAATCTTGTACTATTCGAATCCATTATACTGGGAGATTGGGATTGAAACAAATTTTGAAGTTGTGGCGGTAACAAATTCTTTTTTTTCTGTGCAGGAATATTTTTAACAGCTAAACTGCCAGCAGGATAATTACAAACAATATCCGAAGTCGATGAGAAAGGAAGTGATATAGTCGTCATATCTTCTTGAGAACTTATATTGATTACAGTGTTAGGATCAATATTTGAGGACTCACAAATATCTTCTAATGCTTGTTTTAAAACAATTTGAACCTTTTCGGTATATTTTTGATTGGAACAAGCTAAGGAAGCCACGCGTGCGGCCAAAACGATGGTTTCATTAACTCTCCTTTCGGTTTCTCTGATTTTGATTTTCTTCCTATTAGGGTACACGATTGAGAATATTCGTTTAATAATTTAATGTCATTGACATTCGAAATCTTGTCAATTATATCGAATTGAATTCGTTTAAATATATATAAACATAATTTATCAATTCGAAAATGATCCATTTTATCGCATAAACCCAATTAAGAAATTCAAAATCTACCTTTCTTCTGCTAACCGATTATAAAATCTCCTTTCATCCCAAGGTAAATGTGGGAATTCTTGTTTCATCAATTGTCTTATATCTCCCGTTGATAATCCGGAATTAGCGTATTCTATAATCCTTTGAAGGGCGCTAGGAGGCCAAGGTACTGGAAGATTTTCAGGAATTAAGTCATGGTTGTGTTCTACATGCTGCGGATTATTTGATTTTTTAAACTTCCATTGGTTTTTGCCTTCGTGAATACTATTGAATAGAACGATTCTCCATTTGCAGCCACATCGATTTGAGATACGCTTTCTTTTTGCTTGCTTGCCTTTCTTCAGAGAATCCGTGATCCCTTCACGTGAACAATAGATATAAATATGCTAAAAACGTAAGTAAAATAAGCAAAGATTCAATGAGTAAGGTCAGATCAAAAATAATCATAAAAAAAAAAGAAAAGAAATTTCGATCGATCTATTAAAATTAAGATTGCCAATACAAATGAAAAAGATGTTTTAAAATCATAACAAAATTCTAGACTTGTTAAGAAGTGCCAGGCGCAGCAAAGTTTCTATCGTTGGAAATGTTGAAATGTTGAGAAATAAAAAAGTACCGACCTTAATCGAACTGGTTTCTTGTTTTATCATGAAACCATACTCTCTTGCTAGTTGTCTGCAATGCAATATAGCTTCTTTTGAATTTTGAAACTTCAAAGGTGTAATGCTTGCGTAAAAGCTATTCATCTATATTATCAAGATAAGTTAGGTTTTTCTTGTGTTAGATAGGACATAACAAAATCAAAAAATCATGAATGAAAGAAAATTCTCAAGAATACCGCTGCCAAGGAAGATGTTTGTGAGTTTACCCCATAAAAACGTAACGAATATAGACTCGAAATCGCGTCACTTTCGCTGGGAACATACGACATTATACTACAAAGCGTATAACTGAGAGGGAAAAAAGGGAGATAAAAATGAGAGGAATAGATAGAAAAGAGGAAGAACGTAAATAAAGTATGATCATGACCGAAAAAAAAGACGGTCAGTTTTATATGGAGATTTTTTTTTTCGTATAGTATGTATGTAGTAGACGTTTTGAAATGTTTCGTCAGCAAACAAACGGAAACACTATTTCCAGTTGAATCAACGTAGTATAAAATATATTACTTTATAATAGACTTAAACTTTCAATTGGATAATCTTTTTTTTTACAGTAACCTATTATAACATAAATATTCTGTCAAAATTGCTCAGAGAAACTGACACTTCATTTATTTATTAAGGGGTGTATGCATATTCGACTAATTACAATAAAGAACAAGATGACTGCAGCTCACAACATAGCATAGCCTGAGGACTAATCTGAAATCTTTTTTTGCCCGTACGACAAACTAAAGACGAAAATGAAATAATGAATTTTTTCATAATATAATATAACATGATATTGTTTAATGATCTTTCTCAGAAAAGTACCAAAGAAAGACCCACTTTGTAACTTTATCCGAGTTTCTGTAAAGATGTGTCCAGGATACCTGGTATTTGTAATGCATAATGACTCACATTTCATATAACCTTGTACGAATACAAGCGCGTAAACATTCAGAGTTCTTTATGATATGAGCAAGGAGTTATAACGGAATGCCGATAAATTTACTTAATTTATTTTAAGAGGCTATTTCCTCGGTGCGTTTTGCGATAGTGACAATTTTTGAAAGAAGTATCGACTTATCAAATCAGAAATGTAAGCCAAGGAACTTTCTTTGGAATTCTTGGAAAGTTCTATTTAAAATCTATAAGTTGGAGCCGAAATTTTTTAAAAAAAACCATTTTATATGTCATCCGAATATGAACAATATTTTAATATGCAAAAAATTATCACAAGATCTCCTTAATTAAATAAGGAAAGTTCACATTTTATATATAAATAGGTGCATTATCCCTTGTTTATTTCCAAATATTGACGATTTCATGTAGGGCATACCGAGAAAAACGGATCAAAGAAAATCGACAAAATATTAGACTGTTTATATTTATCATCCAGGTTAAAAATTCAGGTTTTTCCGGTAAATTAACTTTAAAAATTTTCCGTTAAACATTTATTAATATGATTCGTAAGAAAGGTGACCTCCTTTTCTCCTAATCTTGCTTTGAATTCGCAATTCACTCTCCCTTTTACCTAAATTCTTTAACCTATGAATTTCAGTCTCAACCTTTTTATCCAAATCTTCCTTGGACATACTCTTCGAATTCTTCATTTTCTCCACCTTTCTTTCAAATTTTTTTTGTCCTTGGAGACAGCGCATAGTCTTTTTAAATTCTCGTTTATCCATTCCTGGAGCTTGTCCTTCCTCGATTATCGTAGGAGATATTTTAAGAGACGGATCGATTTTCATTCTTGCTAATTTTTTTATCAACATGGAATAACTCAAGTCTCCTGGCGTATCCACGTATTCCAAAACTGCCATTGGCGCGTTATCTCCCTCACGGGATCCTAATTTGTGGATGCGTGTGTAACCTCCTTTACGAATTCGATACCGATCTGCCATCTCATTGAAGAGTTTGGGGACAGTCAAGTCACGTTCCTAAAAAAAAATGGAACATACTTAAAAGATATTCAACCAACAAGAACTTTTCAAAAGTACGAATAATATCAAACGATAACAAAATCTTTATGTAAAATAACAGTTTGAAAAGAATATTTTTTAAAAGATTTAATGATTACCCGTAAAAACGCCATCGCTTGAGATTTAGCATGATCATCACCTCTCTTTCCCAATGTTACCATCTTTGATTATTATTATATTTCGTCGAAATAAAACGAATGTAAAAAAAAAAATAAATGTTTGTTGATTTGCTTGCTTTATAAAAATCTCTGAATGCAAATCATTTCACCTTATCGGCTAGTTTTCTTGCCTCCCTTGCCTTTGGTAAAGTGGTCTTTATTCTATCATGTACAATTAAAGAAGAAACCATATTTCGTAACATGGCCATTCGGTGGCTATGATTACGGCCGAGCTTTTTGTGATGTTTTCCATGTATCATTTTAACGTTTTTGATGTTCTTACGATTTAATCGTTATCGATTACAAACAAAAAAAAAAAACGTTATTAATGAAGCTGAATTTTTTTTTTTTTTGTAGGTTTCATTGAAATTTTATGTCATAGGACGCCCGATCGTCAGTTGTGATCAGGCGTGACGCAATCACAATCAAATCTTTAATTTTTTATTCTAACTATTCTAACGAACGAGGTAAATCTTTTTTTAGCAATTAATTGACCGTATTTATTAAGCTAAATATGTTAATAACAGAGAACATTGTAACTTGCTTCTATAAAGTTTTTTTCTTCCTTAAACAACTAGAAACTTGTGAAAATGCAAACAAACTTTGAGAACAAGGTTCGTGAAGCGTACCGCCGTGCGCTCATGCGTGGAGAATTACACTTTATAGAAAGCACTGTTGATAAAGTAACGGAGAATGGCATTGAGGTACTTATATTAGGCTATGATTTTATAGTGGAGGGGGGTCAAACCAGGAAGTTTACCTCAAAAGTTACAGTTTGAAATATTTTTAGCTCCTAGCTTGGCCAAAAAACCTTCGGCGACTCACGAACAAAAAAACGAAAGTCAACCGAAACTTAAGGTGAATCCTTTCTCACCCTATAGTCAAGATCTATTTGTGCAAGAATATGGAAAACATGTCATTTTATTGAATAAATTTTGTGTAGTTCCAAATCATCTCTTGGTCGTAACCAAAGGTATGTGATTTTCATTCGTAATGATTAGATGAATTTTCTTATAATAAATAAATAATTTATTTAAATTTTCGGATGGTAATTTGTTTAGAATTCGAGAAGCAAATAGAACCTCTCAGCCAAGATGATCTGAATGCCTTGTGGTATTGCATGATGCAAATCAAGAGTCAGCAATCACTTGCTTTCTATAACTGTGGAGACTTTTCCGGTGCAAGGTATTGTTGCAGGAGATATGATTTGTAATTTCTTACTTGTTAGTTTAACGTTCAAATTATAATAATTTTGTTAATTTAAAATGATAAGTCAAACACATAAACATATGCAGATAATCCCCTTACCAAGCGACATCCGTTTTTCACCTCCAATCAATGGTATTATTTACACGTATCAAAATAAGAAGCCAGGTAAGAAGACAAAAATTCATTCATTCAAGTCCAGTTAATTTCAAATAATCATAACTAATTATTTTGGTCGCATGCCCCCCTTAATTAACTAGGCGAGATTTTCGACTTTACTGAATTGCCTTACGTTCACTATGTGGTACTATTAGACCCTCAAAAATTGAGTGGACACCTTGGTCATAGTTATCAAGAAGAAGTTGGGCAATATTTAATTGAAACTTATCTTTCATTGTTGAACAGCATGATTAAAGAATTTGGTTCTTCCCCGCCGAATGCAAGTCCCTCACATTTGTCATACAATTTTGTGCTAACCCACACTTGGATGATGATAGTACCAAGACTTAGTGAGAAATATGAACAAATATCTGTTAATTCTCTTGGATTTACGGGAATGTTCTTGGTGAAGAGTGAGGAAGAATTAGAGTATGTTAAAAAGGTCGGAATATTGCGAATGTTGGAAGGTGTGGCTATACCAAAAAGCGTAAGATCGAATAATTGAAGAATACACTTTATATTTAATTTACCCACACGGGACCCACACCGTTTATTTTTTGACCGTTAAACTTTGTAATAATTCTCATATTATTTTTATAAATATACATTTATACTTTACTATTTGTTACACAGAGGTGCACGGGCCAGTCCAGGGTATAATAGAAAATCCATGTTTGGATACCTTCCTAAAATAATACGTTATTAGCGAATTAGGAAATGAGGTGACGAGAAAAATGCTTAAATCCGTTCAGGTTCCGGGTAATAATAATAATAATAATAATAATTAGACATTGTTAATTTGATCGAAAACGTGCAAAAAATATATTAAATAATTTACTCAAAAACAAGGGCCCATGATTTTATAAAACAAAGCCAACATTGCGTTTGATGCTTTATTAGCTCTTCTTAGACTTATTGAAACGAATAATGCAGAATTCTAAGCGATGTCAAATCACCATAAAAAGGTTTATAATGTTGTGCGGTCAATCAAAATTTGCAGGAAATTAGAAATTAAAGGTCATACCACTCGTAACGATGATCGTAATCATCCATTGGATGATCCGAAGCAAAAAAAAAAAAATGACCAAATTTCTTTTTTCCCATTTTTGGTCTTTTTTTATGTATCGATTTTAATTTAATTTATTATACTAGTTTAAAACAGGATTTTTGATTAATTTAAGTTTTGATTCGGAAATTATTTTTAATAATCACTAATTAGGGATATTGTAAAAATTGCGGTCAAACCATTTTTTAGCCCATATCAAAAAAAGGTCATGATGTGCAAAGGATTTTGGTAATTCTCTCATTATTTTCAAAAAAAAAAAAAAAAAAGGAAAAGAAAAAAAAAGTCATTGGCCACCATGGCTCAAGGCTGTAGCACATGTTGGCGTGCGTGTAATCGTGTAAAAAAAAAATTTAAGATAACAATCTTGAATGTCAACTGATTTAAATTAAAATTTCGATCTCAACAAAAATTTTCAATATAAAAAGCGTCCCAATTCATTTCGGTTTATTTTTTTTAACAAAAATAACAACAAAAAAAGAAATATATATATATATATAAATATATTCTTTTATAACGTTAAACTTTTATCATCAATTAAAAAAAAAATGGATTACTTGAAAAACCTCACGAAAAAATTGGATATCAACGGAAAGAATGACAAATCTGTCGTCAGTTATAGCACGACTATAATTACAAAACGTCTCGAAAATGGTGCGCAATTTATTCAAATATTATTTATTTCCTTATACTTTTTTTTTAAAAAAAAAAAATTTTTTATAATAACAACTAGGTGTGCCAGTCGAAGTAATAACTAAAATTTACGAATCCAATTCACCGATTGAAGTAAAACTTCCTGATGGAATGATTGAAATCGAAAAACCAGCAGAAACACCCAAACCAAAAGAAGTAGATCCAGATGAACCCAAAATGGATGATAGCATTGTAGGTCTTAAAGGTGAAAGAACTGATCCCGTTAGGTTTGTATTATTTATTATTTTTTATTTTATTTTTTATTTTATTTTTATGTCAAACTTTCTTAACCGTTTATGAAAAAAAATATAGTCGATGTTCTCCGGTTGTTGACGCTGATGATTTCAAAGAACATCTTGATCTGACTGGTAATTATATAAATCACGTATAAATCACGTGTTAATTTTAATAAAAAGCCACTTTTTTTAAAAAAAATTCGAATTATCATTTTTTATAGATTACGATTTTTCCAAAGTCGATGCTTATGCCAGAAAAACTCCGAAAGCCGAAGCAGAGAACACTACACGGTTATCAAAATACCTTGCTAAACCTTGGAATAATGAATTGGATAAATTGCGTTGCGTCTTTACTTGGATCACCGAAAACATACAGTATGACACTGACTCGTATTTTGGAGGCAATTCCCAACAGTGTGGTCCTGAAGACGTTTTGAAATCGCGTAAAGCGGTATGTGAAGGATATGCAGTATTATTTGATAAATTGACCAGCGATGCAGGTTTAAAGGTTTGGAAAATAAGCGGACACGCTAAAGGTAAATAAATAAATAAATAAATATTTTTTAAAACTGGAAATTTTTTTTTTTTGATAATAACGCGGGATTATTCGAATTCATTTCAAAGGTGCCGGCTATACACCTGGTTGTGATATTGATAGCCGTCAATTCGCTCATGCGTGGAACGGTGTACTTTATAAAGGGGAATTTCTCTTGGTTGATAGCACGTGGGGAGCTGGTACCCTTAATGGAATGGACTTTGAAAAAAATTTTGAGCCGTTTCATTTCCTTTGTTCTCCAACTCAATTCATTTATAGTCACTTTCCAGAAAATTCAGAACAACAATATGTAACACCAAAACTTAGCAAAGCAGAATTTCTTGATTTGCCGTATGTTAAGCCAAAATTCTTTTCGTCCGGTCTAGGGTTCGTTAAACATCTCGGCAATGAGATTAAAGTATCGGATGATCAGATTACAATTGAAATTGAAAGATTACATCCAGACGAGAGTAAACCTTTATATGCTACTCTTGAGTGGAAAGATCAAGAATTGACAGCATTGATTCAAAGGCTTGCCACACCTGGACCAAAAGGTGGTAGAAAGTACAAATTGTTAAGTACTTGCCCAAGCAAAGGTGAAGGAAAGTTTAACATTTTTGTCATGTTAAAGGGTAACGAGGTAAGAATGATTCACAATATTTCCTATGTATATCTAGATATATAAATATATTTTAACGGAAAAATATATTTTATTTATTTTTTTTTTTAGGGTCCATTAGTGTCTACTTTTAAAGTTAAAAATTCCGGGTCTGGTAAACACTTTGCACCTTACGTAGATACTTATAGTGTTCCGTTTAGTTTCACCATTCAAAATCCTGTTCATGCAAAATTACCTTATAATGAACATGTCAAATTTGAGATTACTATATTTGATTCACCTGAATCAGAATTACCTTCTTTTGCATTATATTTACCAGATAAAACCACAAAAGATCTTCATAAAGTTTCAAGTACGCGCGATAGTTATACTTTTGCAATTGACGCTTGTGTAGATAAAAAGGGTAAATGGAATTTAACATATTGTTCAAAACCAAATACTTTTAATTTTATTGCTCAGTATACAGCCGAGTAAATTAATATGATGAGAATTTTTTTTTGGTGATGGGTTTCTTTATTTATTTTGAACCAATCATAATTCTTTTTATTTGTATTTATTTTATTTTTTTCATTTGTGGTTTCTAAAACCATTTTTGTTTAATATAATTATCAATGCATATAATACATGTATTTAAGCAAATTAATTAAATAAACTTATTTAATACTGGCGTTAACAACGGTTGGTACTGTACATATACCCTTTTCAGTTCTAAGGATATGGACACTTTTGTCCTCACTTTTGATCCATGATGCTTCTTTGTTACTAGTTGTTATTAATCCGGGTTGTAAAGTTTCCCATACTTTCCTCTTTGGATTTAATACAGGTTCGGGACTCCCTTCTATAATAATAGTGTAATTAAAATTGAATTAAAATACTTAAAAAATTTTTTTTAAAAAAAAATGATTTGTACCTTCATATCCCTCAAAATATGCTCTATCACCTGGCTTAGACCCTGGGGGAGGGTCAACAAGTTCAACATTGCCTTCAGTTGATGTCGCTGCAAGAACCATCGCAAATGATTTGATTCCGCGCATTCTAATAATTTAAAAATTTAAATTAGTAAAATGGGTTATAAAAAAAAAAATTATCGGTTTTCTAATATCGAATTAATTACTTACGCTGCGGGTTTCAAATTGCAGACCAATACAACGTCTCGATCCTTATAAAAAGGAACTAAATGTTATTATTATGAAATAAATTCATTCATGATATTTAAAACACTAATAAAGCAAATTAGACAAACCTGCATTTGATCTAATGGAATATATTTAACTAAACCACTAACTACAGTCCTTGGTTCATCCTCACCAACATCAATTTTTTCAACATATAATGAATCTGCATCGGGATGTTTTTCGGCCTTGATAATATGCCCAACGCGAAGATCCAACAAAGAAGGTGAAATAACTATTTCAGCAGTAGCCTCCTTTTTATTTTTCTCTTTCTTCTCTCCTTTTTTAGAAGCTTTTTCGGCTTCCTTCGCTGCCTTTTTATCCGATTTCTTACCTTCTTTAGCGGACGAACCAGCAGCAGAAGCTTCAATTACTTCATCTCTTTTTGATTGATCCTTTGTTGCTTTATCTGCTTTAGATTTTCTAACTTTCTTTTCAACCTGTATTTAAAAGGACAAAATTCTTTTTCATTAATAATTAATTCTTTTAAAATAAAATTCTGAAAAAAAAAAAAAAATAATAATTTCAATACCTTAGGAGCTTCCAAATCGATCTTTATAATGTCCAACCCACTTTTAGGACCTGACTCAGAAGTTGCAGTATTTTGGATCAGATCAAACCAACGCGTCAAATTTGGCAATTCAAATCGTTCTTTAGAAGATAATTTCGCCTGTTGCAATAAAAATCTTGCTAAATTTAGAGACGTGATTTTAGAATTAAATAAAACTTTATTACTTTATTATACTCACCACGAAATTGTAAGTCCGGGCAAACGCGACTAAATCTGCTACGGTTAAATAATTTCCAACGATATAAGTACGAGTTGTTAGATGTTGATTTAATTCCTATGTAACAATGCGAAAATCAGTTTCATGAATCAATTAAATAAATAAACAGATGAATTACAAATCTTACATTGGCCACTTTGGACGAATCATTATCGGCTTCTTCGGTTGATTTGATCCATTTTTGAACCTAATGATCATCAAAATTTTCATTTTACGAAATAATTATTTATAATTGTCAAGTTAAAGTGTATCTTTTACCTCAGACTTATCAGGTTCATTTTTGGCCTCTAAACTAGGATCAAAATGTTCAACTAAACTATTGACGACAGAAATAGTTCCTGTAAAAGTTTTACCATCTTCAAGCGTTAAAGCTGAATTCTAAATTAAAAATAACCCTTTTTAAAATACTTTTTTTTTAAATTTATAATCATATACGAATGTCATAAGATAATACCTCAACATTAGACTCATGAAGTGAAATATTAGGTGGAGCTGAATAATGATATACCAGTTTTGCAGTTATATCGTTTGGTGAAAGTGTTAAATTTGCTACCATCTTTATTATTTTAGTGTGGTAAGAAAAAGATGATAAAATTTTTCTGATCATAGCGATCTACAAATTGCATATCTTCATGACGTGAAAAATCATTTAAAAAAACTATTTTTTTTTTTTAATTTTTTACGATCGGTTTGTCCTTTCAATAATATTATCATGAGGAAACTTTTATTTGATCCACGTTTATCTAAGTAAAAGTAATAATTTATTAAGAGATTTTCTCGGCAGATTTAAACTATATAAGCCTCGGAGTAGTGCTTACTCGTAGGAAACTTTCATTAATTACACTACAACTGAAAGGCAATGCCTTGCAGTACGCAGCCCTTCAACCATTATCTTTGCTACCAAACATTTGAAGTAGTTTGTTATTAACTACAAAGAACAAATATTATTATTCAACAATTTCTGAAATAGTAGATGAATAACAATCAGAAATTTCTAATCTGATCAGTAATTGATGGATAATAATCTCATCTTACTAGTATCGCCCCAAGATTTTCCACCCCACGTGATATGCACAATTTGTCACGTACGTATTCTGGGGACAGAGAATTTTTCACCGCTAAAAAATTTTTGTTTCACGCCCATTAAATGTCACCGGACACGTGGGAGTGGAAATTTACTTAAAAACTTTGGGGCGATAATGTGTCTAATCAACGATGTCATCCAATGAAATAGTGACCCGTTACCGATATGATTATCGATCTTTTTTTTTAAATAATATAAATATGCTCTGGATTTACCATTTCCTAGTATTTAAAAAAAAATGAAAAACTAAAGACTCGTAAAAAATCCTCACAAATACAGAAAAATTATTACTATATACAATATATACCAAATCCTTTCAAAAATGATGTCTGACATCTTAGTTAATAAAGTATTTTATAATATACAAGAAGTAAATTATTTCATTCTAATTACTTCAAAGAACTTCAAAGAACGAAAAGTGAGGGCTCTTCTGCCTCTAAACAGCTAAGCGATCATCAAATTAAGGAATTTATGAACGCAAAACCTTAGCAGCAAAGCGATGACCAAATTAAGGAATTTTGGAATGCAAAACCTTACAAGTCAAGCGGTCATCAAATTAAGGAATTTATGAATGCAAAACCTTTACCAGCAAACGATGACCAAATCAAGGAATTTATGAATGCAAAACCTTACCAGTTAAGCGATGATCAAATCAAGGAATTCATGAATGCAAAACCTTACCAGCAAACGATGACCAAATTAAGGAATTTTTGAATGCAAAACCTTACCAACCAAGCGATCATCAAATTAAGGAATTTATGAACGCAAAACCTTAGCAGCAAAGCGATGACCAAATTAAGGAATTTTGGAATGCAAAACCTTACCAACCAAGCGATCATCAAATTAAGGAATTTATGAGTGCAAAAATGTAAGCATTATATCTTTCAGCTCAAATATTCATCAAGGATAGTATAACAACCTTATTAGAATATCTTGGAATCGAATTACTGTTAGAATATAATAATATTAGCTTATATAAGTTGTAAATTAATTTATTTGTAAATTTCAAATATTTAATAAAAAAATCAATTTAGCAAAATACTCTTCTTTTAACATGTTTATTATCTACAATTTGATTATAAAGTTTATTACCAAAATAAATAACCTTTAAATTTTTCTCTTAGATTTATTTATTTTAAAAAAATTACAGATACCTATAAGATTTAAGATTATAAATTTTAACAAAAAGAAATTGAATTACTATAACAAATAACTTAGACTTAAACATGTAAAATTAATTCTAGTAATTTAAAAATTTTAATTAAAAATTTCAAAACTTGATTTTCTTAAATTTATTATATTTAAATTATAATAATCTATTTACATTAAAATATTCTTATGATAATAAAAAATAATAAAATTATTATTTTATATATTTATAATTTGCTTATAATTTGATTATTTATAATAATAATTATTATATAATTTACAGTTATAAATATTATAAAATAAATATAAAAAATATTAAATTATTTATATAATTTATTAAATAGTTTAAATATTTATTTATTTCAATTATTTAAATTATTCTTATAAACATTATTTTTATAATTTTTTATTATATAAAATATAATTATTTAATTTATAAATATAAACTTAATATATTTAGTAAAATAAATAAATACCATAATTTTAAAAATAAGTATAATCTAAAAATAAGTATTTATATAAAAATTTATATATAATTTTACTATTATTATCACTAATTTTTAAATCATTTAAATTATTTAATATATTGTAATAAACTAAAAAGTTATCTTTTAGATCACATGATTTTTATCTTGTCACAAAATCCATCCAATCAGCTTTAATTGGCAGATCCTCAAAATCTACCCAATCAACCAAAAATTGGCAGATCTGTAGAATATGCCAAATATGCCAT